TTTTTTTTAAATAAATGTTTAAACAATTTTGATTCAAATTCTCCTTGTCCAGGTGTGAGCGGTGTGCACGCGTGTATCGATCCTTCAGACCAGTACCTGCATCAGTTCTACACAAAGTTGGGCTTCGTGGAGCTGTCGCGGGAGGGCGGCGCGGTGTTCCTCGCGCGCGCCTTCTAGCGCCCGCACCGCAGGACGCTGCGCACGCGCCCGCGCCCGCGACGACAGCGCTGACTGCAAGCAGCACCGAATGCAGGCGACACCGACTGTAGTCAACGCCGACTTGAGTTAGCACCGACTGCAGTCAGCACCGACTAGTCAACACTAACTGTAAACAACACCAACTGCAGTCAACACTAACTGTAGTCAACACCAACTGCAGTCGACACTATCTGCAAACAGCACCAACTGTAGTATACAGCAACTCCAGTCAACACCGACTAAAGTCAATACCAATTGCAGTCAACACTAACTACGGTAACCACCAACTGCGGTCACCACTAACTGCTGTGAGCACCAACTGAAGTCTGCACCAATTGTAGTTAACACCAACTGAAGTCAGCGCCAACTCCAGTAAGCACTAACTGCAGTCAACACTAAATGTAGTCACCACCAACTGTAGTTAGTGTTGACTGCAATCTGACTCAATTAGATTTATTATGATACTATCTTAAGCTATGTAAATATTTATAAGCGTATCTGATATCTCTACTCTGACGTATTTCCTTTAGTATCTTTTCTGACGTCCCCGTGCGTTCTGACGTTATTTATTTTTTCTGACTCCATAATGACTAATTTCGATACGACTTGTATGGCGTTTTATTACACTGTCGCTTTTATTTCATATGACATGTCACCCTTGTCTTCTGTCTTAATTTATGACACGCTTTATTTATCTTAACAAATTTTATTTATGCATTTTCACACTTCTTATATATCTAACACTTGTATGTTTAGTACCAGACTAATAATTTAGTCGAGTATAGAGTAATTTATTCACGTTTATAAGATTTCCTAATCTCGACTATATTTTCATACATGTTAAGATACTAAATTACTAGGTACTCGACTAAATTACTAGTCTAGTTTAAACTAGGCTTTAGTATAAGTAAAAAGTTCAAATCCGCCCACACAAAAATATCAAACTCTGTGCGTTTCCACTATCAAACATGTACAGAAACATTGTCATTCAACACATTCTGTTTATTAAAGAGATATGTTTGTAAGAAATTTTACGAGTGCAAACACGCGGTTACTCAATAAGTAAATTTACAAAGGGTGATGGCAGATTCAATTACTTCATAGTAATTTTTTTTTTATTTATTTTAAAAATAAGCCTTTTTCGTTGTTGCTATATTTTATCCGTAAAAATCATATAAAAGTATTAGAATATACAATAAACAGTGCTATTGTTTTTATTATTTATAATCGTATAATACATTTTAGCATATACCTGTTTACCCTATTTTATTTTCTGTTTATTTAACACACAAAAAAACTAAAAAAAAGATGAGAAAAATCATTTATGAAATCACAGTTTATTTTTTTCTAATAAGTTGTAATAATTTATTTCTACAGACTTAGACAGATATAAAAATATTTTTACACTTATAACATGTTATAAATTGATAAACGGCGGCATCAAAATATATAAAGTGACGAGAATCATATGCGAGAGAGAGGCAAGATCGGTGTAAGCGTTCGTTGTGACGTCACATGTCATCCGTAACCGATTCTACAGATAATTTTTGTCTTCCTAAAATATTGTGTTATGTTTTTTTTGTAATACTGTAAAATACTAACAAGTGTGCGTATAAAACAGCTTTTTATATATTAAAGTAAAGGTGCCGGTTATATGTCATTTCAAAACTCAGTCTATATCTTAAAACCAATTCTTAAGTTTCAAAATAGATGTTTCCCGTTAGACCGATTGACTTTATAGGAGTAAATTTTTGACCATTGGACCGTTCGGCTAAAACAGACTGTATCATATGATTCATTAGTCGAAATGTATATTTCATTTAAGAAAATGGTGTTCCATAATTTTGTATAATATTGTATTGTTTTCCCTTTAAACCACAAATGGGTAGAAATGTTTGAATGTATGATAAAAGTCGCTAGTTATATGTTATAGTGGCTACTTATGAATAAGTATTACAATATTTAAATAAATAAGCTCTCACTGGTTTATTCCAATTGGTAAATAAAGAAAAAAAACGAACTAAATGCAATTCAAAATTTGTTACCTTTATAAATGGATAGGCTATTAATTGTTATGTGTTTATTTGATTTTCGCCATTTTGGCGCTAATTGTTGCGCTTGATCCATGTTACGATTTTAAATTAATAATTAACTGTTATTAAAATCAAAAAGTCACGTTTATCTATTTATAAATATCTATGCTTTTTAACAAGTTTAGTTTGACATCTATGGTTATATCAAGTGGCAATTGTTTCCCACTGAAATTGGTCTACTGACTTTAAAATTAAAGTTTTTTACAAGATATTTTTAATAAATTCAGTTCTGTATCTAACAAAAAAAAGAAACATGAGAATGTTTCTCCGATCAGTATGTATGGACCCTAAAAATTAATTTCTTAATTATGAATAGATATAGTTTTGTATGTAGTGTGAAATGTCATCCAATTTAGAACTTTTTCTTCCAGTAGAAGTACTCATCCCGTACTGTAGGTTTTAGCGGCATTTCTGATTAAGACATTGTTTATTTAATTATATAAATAAGTTTTATGAATATAACTTCTAAAATTATTTATTAGAGTCTATTATCTACAGTTCTTTTTGTAATTCTGTTCTGTTCCTTATTAGTCTATGGTCACAAATATAACCTAACAAAGGAATTGATAAGGCAACTTTGTTATGTTGCTTTTAGAGTGGAATTTGTATGGTATTATTTTTTCTTTGTATAAGTGGCAGTGATTGTTTTATATGTAAGTGTGGAGTTTGCATGATATCGGACAAGATCGCCTACTTAGGTGTAAAGACTGAATAAGTGAGAAGTTTTAGAATGATGGTGTGATTTGATAGTCAAAGGAATGAGAGAAATGTAGAAAATGTGGTAACTGTGACGTTTTTTTATCTGTGTATCCATAGACAAGACTTAAACTGTCAATGTCAAATTTTTAAACAGCTCTTCATAAGCTAGAAAGAGGTCTGTCGT